CCAGCGGCGGGAAGATGGCTCTGTGAACTTCTTCCGTGGCTGGGAAGCCTACCGGGATGGCTTTGGGAAGCTGACGGGAGAGCACTGGTTAGGTGTGTGGGGCTGGCACTGCTCACTCCTGGGTGGGCTGGCAAAGCCTGGGGTCTCCTGAAGGGGTCCAGGGTTTCCTTTGCAAGGGAGGGCACACCAAGACACCCTTGGCCAGCACCCATGTCCTGGGAGTGCTGGGCTGGGCAGGCAGGGAGGGTGTCAGGTGGCTGCACAGGGCAGGGAGGCAATGGGGCTGTTTGCCCCCGAGCTGAGGGTGTGCCCTCAACCGTGCAGCCAGGAGAGAGGGATGGAGGGTGGGAACCCCTCCCTATCCCACCCCGGGGCCCCTCCCCAGGGACCACAGGCTGCCCCGTCCCCAGCGGGGTCCCTGCACTCACCACCTCCCTCTGCTGCAGGGCTAAAGCGGATCCACATGCTGACAGTCCAGGGCAGCTACGAGCTCCGCATCGACCTGGAGGACTTTGACAACGGCACCGCCTTCGCCCACTACGGCAGCTTCGGGGTGGGGCTCTTCTCTGTGGACCCCGAGGAGGACGGGTACCCCATCACCGTCGCTGACTACTCAGGGACGGCAGGTAAGGCCGTGGCAGGGGGACACACGTGGGCCCATGGGCGAGGAGAGCCCACAGCCACCAAACCCCCTCGCTGGGTTGTTCCAATCTCCTCTGGCAGTGGCACCAGCTGTATCCCTGTGGCTGCAGGGAGCTGGAGGCAGTTAAGGGGCTTTTGCAGGAGGAGACCCATTGTAGGAATCCCACTGTGGTGCCCAGGGGAGTCCCATGGGACAGGGAGCTGGCCCAAGGGCAGGAAGGGCTCACCACAGCTCCTTTCCCCTGGGACAGGTGACTCCCTCCTGAAGCACAACGGGATGAAGTTCACCACCAAGGACCTGGACAACGACCACTCTGAGAACAACTGCGCAGCTTTCTACCACGGTGCCTGGTGGTACCGCAACTGCCACACCTCCAACCTCAACGGGCAGTACCTCAAGGGCCACCACAGCTCCTACGCCGATGGCATCGAGTGGTCCTCCTGGACCGGCTGGCAGTACTCCCTCAAATTCACCGAGATGAAGATCCGGCCCATCCGGGAAGAGAATTAGCTGGATGGCACGAGCCTCCCCGCACTGTGCCCAGCCCCCTGCCCTTCCCCACCACCGTCCAGCCCCGTCCCCACCAGCTGCTGTCCTCCCCATCCTCCCCGAGGGCTGGCCCATCTTTGAGGGGCCTCTGGGGAGCACCTTCCCCCAGTGAGGGTGACTTTTATCTCCTGGGCATCCACGGACATTGCTGGACCTTTGTTTCCCATGGCCATGGCTCCGCTGCAGCCAGAATGGGTGTCCTGGCCGGAGCGTGACCCGTGGCTGGTGCTCATGGCTGTGGCAGAGAGGGCAGTGGGATGCAGGGATTTGGGGAGAGGTGCCCAACGAGGTCCAGCAAGGGAGAGAAGGGGCTGCCTGGAGATAGGGAGGGATGCAGTAGCCCAGGTAGGCTGAGCACCTCTGATCACCTCTGCTCCGGGCACAGACTGCAGGCAGTGGCCTCACCAAGGTGGCAAGTTACTGGGGGCACTTGCCACGGGGAGCCCCAAGACCCAGAGCCCCCCAGACTGGGACAAGGCTGCTCCACAGTTCCAGCTCCCCCCATGGTGCTATTAGTGACGGGGAGGGCTCAGCTGGGTCAGCCTGACCGTGCCAGTGATTCTTTCTCTGGACTACAGAACATTTGCCTCTGCCCCTGGAAGAGCAACACAGCTGGGAAGGGACAACTACCAGCTCGTTAGTCCCTGTTGTTCCTGTCCTGCCTCCTGGAGCCTCCCCGTGGGTCAGGACACCCCAAAGCAAGCTGGTGCAGTACTGCAAGGACGCCCACCCAGAACTGAGCATGGCATGGAGCTATTCTGGCAGCGCTGGAGAAACGGGGAGCACATCAAGTAGGAGGAGGGGGCGAGGAAGGTTCACTTCCCAGCACAGCTCTGCCTGCTTTTCGCAGCTCCTCCCCCCCAGCCAGACTCACTCGGATTCACATGGGCCATCCAGAAGCTGTGACCTTTCCCCCAACCCTTGGCTTTGGGCAGCACAGACACCTCCCCTCTGTGAGCGCCCTCCGCTCACTGCCGGCCTGGGGACCCGCATTCATTTTCACCCCGGCTGAGCCGCGCGCTGGCTCGGCACCTGCAGATATCCAAAGCCTTTCATTCCTCAAATCCCGTTAAGGTTTTGCAAAAAAAGAAGCCCCGAGTGGGGCTTAGCATCTGCAGGGCCCTGATAACTGGGCAGCAGCAGTGCCACGCACCAGCCAACCCAAGCAGGAGCTGCTATGGGGTGCAGGACTGATGTCTCTTGCTGGCTCCCTGGAAGGACTCAAATGGGGGATTTCATCCAAAAAAAAAAAACTAGAATCAAATGTGAGAAGGCTCTGGAGCAGGGAGGGAAGGAGACAGCAGGGACCCTGTCACCCTGTCCATCATTTTCTGCCTGTGCTACAGCAGTGATGGGGAGCAGAGCCCTGGTCCCCAGAAACACTGTTGGACAGATGGATGGACTGAGGAGGGGAGGAAAACTCCCACCGTCCCCATTTCCAGGGGGGCTTAAGGCATGGGGGATCAAAGGCTCAGCTTCCCAGCTGTGCCAGGTTTGTACTGCCCTCTGTGATTCTTCTTTTTTTAAGCCTTCCCACCTCAGATCCTGTGCTGGACAAGCCCATTCACCTGCTGGGTGAGTCCCTGTCTGTCTGTTTTGCCAGGAAAACAGGGACAAACAATGTATTGGGATAGTTTTTCCCTGTTCCAGAGACATTCCTCAGAGCCCTCAGGCGAGGATGAGCTCTGAGTGCAGGCACCAGCTCTGCCTACTCCAACCCTGCCCAGAGCAGCTGCTCAGGCTTTCTGGAAGGATGGAATTTGGGGAGCTCAGCAGTGGCATTTCCCAACTCAAGAGCAGGAGCCCCTGACAGCTTCCCAGGGGCTTCCTGTGCCCCACTGGACCTCTCCAGAGAGGGTCCCGCCTGCACCCCTCTTTACTTTCCGTTCATTTATTTTGTGGAGTAGCTGTAGCTGTGTTTTCTAGCACTTGCCTTTGTGCCAGGAAGGCACGTGGAGCCATGTGCCGGGTGGGAAGGCTCTCCCCTCCCCAGACCCCTCCACTGGTGTTTTGCCACGCCGGGGAGGGGACACTGTACGTCGGTTTGTCGGTAGCACATCCTTGTGTAACTGCCTGTGTCATCCAGGACCCCCCCAGTGACTTTGTTTTGACTTGCACGAGAGGTATTTAATCCATGCCAAGACGCAGGATTTCCCAGGATTATTCCCAAGAGCGCACACATTGCTCCATGGCCCTGGATTAGGTTAAACCCGTCCGTGGTGACACCTCCCCGGAGAGGGGAGGGCAGGGGCGACTGGGGGGTCTGGGATGTGGCCACGTACCTTCCCGGCGCAGCCCTGAGCCAGGTCGTGGTGTGTAGCAGTGCCGTGAAGTCTCTCTAGGTCGTGTGTGAGTGTGTCCAACGCTGTACATGTGGACTTTCTAAACTCCTTAATAAAAGGATCTCATCGTTAGCCAAGCGTCTCAGCGGCCATGCCCGTGGCGCAGCGTGGGGACATCGCGGAGGGACCTGCCGCGGTGATGGCAAAGGGAGCGACCCTGCGTGGCTGCAGCTCCTTCCCTGTGCCAGGCTCCTGGCGTGGAATTCCTGGGAACTCCATCACTGAGCCAGAACCGCTCTGCAAAACAAGGGCTGGGGAGAACCAGGCGGGCAGTGGAGGCTTCCCAGAACTCCAGCCCAAACTGAGGCACCGTGGGACCTCAGGGTGGCCCTGGGGCTGGGACTGGGAGGGTGGCAGAGCCAAAGGAACCCTCTCCTTGCTCTGACAGGCATTACCCTCAGCCCCTTCCCTCTGAGCTGCTCACCCCACGTCCCATTCTGTCACAGGCCAGGCCAGACCCAGAGGGGACAGCAGGGTCCCAGGCACTGGGGGCCATGTTTCAGCACTGGGGGCTGTATGCATTGACCAGGGAGGGTGGGAGCGCTTGGTCTTGTCCATGTGGGGCCAGTCCCTGGGGGAATTTGGGGCTGCAGGAGTCTCTCTTGATGCCTGTGTACCCACCACACTGGGACCCCCACGAGCTGCACATAAGGACACACCAGCCGAACGGGGGGGACACACTCCTGCACCCAGACAAGACCCTCCCTCCAGCAGCACACCCAGCTGCCAGGGACTCAAGGCCAGCTCCCAGCCACCGCTCCAAACGAGGCAGCAAATGAAGGCGGCGCGTTAATGAGCAGTGTTGCCGTACTCACATTGTGGCAGCTCCACCAACCCCTGTCCCCCCCATCCTCCTTTCCAGCCCCATCCCCGAGAATCCCACCCTCTGCTCTCTTTGGCCACACGTTCAAGAGGTGACACAGCAATTAAACCAGGCGGGTATTTAATGGCCCGGGGCGGGCTGGCTGCTCATCTGGGCACTGGGCAGCACGGAGCAGGGCCAGGGCCGGCAGCGCTGGGCAGCGCCAGAGCAGAGAGGTGAGTGGCTCCCTTCTGTCTGTCTGTCTGCCCCCACATACCTGCTTCACACCTGCAGCCAGTGAAGAGGCAAAGGCTCCCTGCGGGCAGGACTTACTCGTAGGGACAATCAGGGTGATGCACAAAGTCCTCCCGAGGTGCCTCCAAGAGGAGCGGGCAGCTCTGGAGCCCATCGCCCTGCCCGGCTCTCAGCCCCCCACCCCGGCAGAGCCCCCCTGGCTCCCGGCCGCGAACCAGGGGAGTCGCTGCAAGGCTGGGGTTTGCGAGCTCGGAGCTGCTGCTGCTGAAGGGCGGCGGGTCTGAAGGAGGCATGGGGCGAGCTCAGACTCCCCCAGCACCCGCACTGGGGCTGGGTGCTGGTGTGGAGGCTGCAGAAGGAGCAGTGGGTGTTTGGTGTGGGGTGGAGCTCTGGCAGGGCCAGCAGGGCTGGTTTTGGGGGTGCAGCAGCAGGGGTGAACAACACGTGGCGGCCGAGGGCATCCCGTGCTGCTGCCTCCGCCGCCGCCCGAGGATGCTCTGCGGTTTACTGACCTGCCTTTCCCTCCCAGATGAGAGCACCCTACTCGCTGTCCTGCCTCTTCCTCCTGAGCCTGGGGGCCTGCTTCCCTCCCGGCGAGCGGCGGGAGCCAGGACGCCCCGGGGAGGGGACCCTGCTCGGTCCCAGGTGGCAACCAGCGGCGGAGGACCCGGGCGCCGGCTGGAGGGCAGGGGCGAAGCGGAGGCGAAGCGAGGAGCTGGACGCGCTGCTGGGCATCGCCCGGGAGCTGCGGGGCTACGGCTCGGCGGGGGCCGGGCAGCGGCCGGGCAGGAGGGGGGGCTCCGAGGTGCTGCCCGCCGCGGGGGAGAAGCGCAGCGGCACCCTGGGCAACCTGGCCGAGGAGCTGAACGGCTACAACAGGAAAAAAGGGGGCTTCACCTTCCGCTTCGGGAGATGAGGGCTTGGACTTGATTCCCCCCCCCACCCCCCACCCTCCAGGGGGTCACCCCGTCCCGTCCTTCCCTTCCACCTCGCCTGGGTTTGCTCGGACAAAAGGGTATTGGGGGGTGGGTTTGCTGCTGGGATTGCCTCGGGGATGGGGGACACGGCGTTTGCTCCGCTCGCAGCCCTGCTCTAGCTCTCACGTCCCTGTTCCCAACCGGTGCAACGAAAGAAGAGGAGGGTGCCTTAAAAAGAAGCCACCACAACCCTTTCCTGGTCACAGACAGATTTTGCAGGGGCACAGGGAAAGGGCCCAGCACTGGGTCTCCAGTGCTGCAGCACTGGCAGAGAGCAGGGATGGCACACCAGGACAGGCAGTGCCAGTAGGGCCAGGCAGCGAGGCTGGAGGGTTATAGTGGGATAGTCCTGGTGGTGACAGTCCCCAGGGACTGCCTGTAGCTGCTGTCCAGGTCTGGCTGTTAAGGAGGAGAGGGTCCTTCAGAGCTCTCTGCTGAGTTGCTGCTCTCCTGCCTGTTAAGGAAAAGTCCCTCCGGCAGCAAATTCTGCTTAGTGTCAGGATGCCACTTACACGAGGCAGCTCCTGCGTGCAAAAACCAGGGCAGAGCAGCGGGGTTGGAGAAAATCTTGTCCTTAGCACTCCCTGGCATGAGCACAGAAACCTGCCCTGGCATCACAAGTCCTGCCACAGCCCCAAAACCCCTTTCACTCCCTGACCCCCAGAGCAGTCCTCACCAGGGTGAGGTGGTGATGATCAGCCCTTTGTGTCCTTGCCACACCACCCCAGCACCTGCCTGGAAGCCTGGCCCTTCCCAATTCCTTCCCAGCCTCATCCCTACCCATTCCCAGCTGTAGAATTTGGGTCACACCCAGGGGCCATTGAGGACTTCTCAGTGTCTCCCTGCTCTCCAGTCCCCGGTGGTGCAGCTTTGGAAATCACTGGCCCCAAAAACCAGCACAGCCACGGCAGTGCAAGACAAACCCCACTGCCCAGACACTGCCTTCCCCTCCTTTGGGCAGACTGAGCTCTGCCAACGTCTGCTCTGTGCCTGCCAGAGGTACCAGCAATCAGAGCTCTAACTACCTGCTGCAGGCACTAACAGCAACTTACACACTGAGCGACTGCTGATATTTCATTGCAGGCACAAAAATGAGCCGGGAGATGATTTGCAAGTGCTAAATTGCACCCTCAAAAATCAGAGACCGTGGCAGGACTTGGTTGGGGGAGTAAAAAGATTAAAAAAAAACCCCTAAATCAGGCTGCAAGAGGTGCATTGTAATATCCATCAAGCAGACAGACCACTTAATGCAGTGCTGCGTGAGTTGTTCTGGCAGCAGGAGCAGTAACTAAAGGCTGGATGGAGGGAGGAGCTGGAACCCCCGGGAAAACATCAGCCATGGGGTTCAAGGAGAAGTGATGGAAACACTGGACCAGGCTCATCTAGGGAGGGTGCAGAACGGGAGGGACTCCAGGTTTGCAGGGATACGGGCGATGCCAGGGCTTGGCCCTCACATGGGGACACCACCAGCTGCGAAGGCGAGGAAGGGCATTTCCTTCCCCTGCATCCCTGCTGCCAGGACCATCTCACACTGTGGGGACCACAGCAGAGACCAACAGCACTCAGGACGGCTGAGCCCACACAGCCAGGCACCCCAGGCACCCCCAACCCACCCCCATCCCTCTGGATTCCGCCCCACCACGGGGCCCTGGTTTGGATCGGGACGCAGGCGCCGCGCTCGCATCCCTCGGTGGAGACGGGAGCTTTATCGATGTTTCTATGGCAACTACTCCTTTTCTTCCCCCTTTCTTTTGAGTGTTCAAACCATCAATAAATACGCACTGATCAATTTTACCCTGCACTGGAGTCGGGGGAGGGATGGGGAGGGAGGAAGGGGAAAGAGTTTTGGAGCAACTCTGGGTTAGTGAGGGCCGGTAAATCCTTGGCTTTGCTGTGATGGATCATTGCAGGGAAAAGTGGCACTGGCTGCTGCGGAAAGGGAAAGGAAAACTGCTGGGCAATGCTGTGGCCACGGGGATGCCTGAGCTGCTGCTCTCAAGTGCAGGAGAGGAACAGGCTCAGAGCAGCACGATAAAAGCACACGCATAACAAGGCTGATTGATGTGCAATAACCTCTGTAGAACTCACTGAAAAGTGAAGCACTTACCTGGCAGGTGGGACAGAGCTGGGCTCAGCCCCTGCACCCCGGGGCTCCTTGATGGGCAGCTTGGTGCCACAGGGGCGATGTCATGCCCCTCCTCACCCTCTGGCAGGAAAGGGGCTCACGACAGGCTGAGATGAGGGGCAGGTGAGGGGCTGTGGCAGCCCTGGAGCTCGCCTTGGCACACACCTTAGGGTGCCTGGTGTGCTTGGGAAGAGGCAGCATTCCAGGCTCTTCATTATTGCTCCTTGGTGATTAACTCTGCAGGGAGAGGGGAGGTAAAAGTAAATGGAAAATAACTGCCTGGAGTCTGGGGGTGTGTCTGGGAGGAAGGAGGGGGGAACATGCAAAGAACGATCCACAGGAGGCTGGAGAGCCTGTCCCTGCACACTGGACATGGTATCTCCCATCCAGCTCTTCCCAAATCCTCCCCTCCCCGGTCCCTTTGTGGAGCAACTCCTGAGGGGACACCCAGACCCTCCACACCTTTGTGAACCCACCTGCACACCAAACTGGATTCACTGTGGAACAGCCACGCAGGGTGGCAGAGAGGAGCGTGGACACGGCAGGACATTCCTGGAGCTCTGGCACCACTGTCTGCTGTGCCAGCCCACCCACACAGGGATGGCACCAAACTGGCACTGGATTCTTCTGCACAGGGTCAGTGGACCCAGGCAGCAAGGGCCGATGCAGACCCTTGCTGCCAACATCACCACTGCTGGGACCCCCTAAAAAACACCCCGTTATCCTCCCCTGCCCAGGCACAACCCCTGTCCCTGTCACAGCCCTGTTTCCTGCCCATCTGCTCCATTCCCACAGGCTGCTCCTCACCTTTCCCCCACCCCAAGCAGACTACAAACAAAACCAGTGCAGCACCACAAACACACACTACGGGAACAGCGAATTTCAGAAGCCCAGGGGATCCTCTGCAGGGAAAGAGCCCGATTTAAACACGTCCAAGGGACTCAGGAAGAGGCTCGTGCATCGTAACTGGGTCATGCAGTGCTGCGGCTCCGGGAGCACAGGTGGGACCTTTATCAGCAGAATGGATGGCAGGACAAACACAGAACCCCTGACAGGGGGGAGATTGCTGGAAAAATGTTCAGCATGGATTGGCTTGCAGGTCAGCTTTCTGCTGAGCTGGAGCTACCGGTCAACACCCACCAGGCAGCACTGCCAGGGAGTACAGCTCTGAGCCCAGCCTCTGTATAGAAAGGACTCACAGGGCTGCCCCTCATCCACAGCTTTAGGGGCACCAGCACTGCCCAGGCATCAGGACTGACCACAGACTGATGCAGGAGCATCATTCCCAGCAGCCCACCCAGGCCAGGGCTGAGCCCTGGACCAGGAGTGTGTCCTACTCTGCTGCCAGCCTGCTTCTAGATGTACAGGTGATGTAAGAAACCCTCTCCTCAGAACTGACACCGTGCTTAGGTGTGTTTTGCCTCTCTTTTCAGTTGTGGAAGGATGAATGTCAAGCAAGGGAGAGGCTGTGGGTTGTCCCTGACCATCCCAGGGGACAGGCAGCACTCCCACACACCTGAAAGCACTGCTGGCCCAGCAGCACCTCCACAAGCCAGGCTGCCACACCAGCCTGTCTGTATTAACATGAGATTTTTAAGGGAAAAGAGCCTAAAACACTGACCACATTTTACATCTCGTGACAAGCAACTTCTCAACAGAAGGCAAGATGACAAGTTTTCCTTTAAAACTTAAAAGAGTGAACATTGTAATTTCAAAGACATGAAAACCAAAACAAAACCACAAACACAGCTATTTTTCCCTCAGAGCACTCTCACTTTCAAGCTCAATAGCCTTGAAAATTGGAGCAATCAAACTGTTAAATGCATCGATCTGTTAAATCAACTCCTACTGTACTCAGCTAAATTTAGCCTTTAATCCCCTCTCTCTCACTCCCAACACCACAGATCCTGGGGCTTTCCCCAGCCAGGTCAACTGGCCTCTGCCTTCCCACGACACCATGGACTGGTCCCTAAGCCAGTGGAGATGGAGATCACCAGGAGTGGTGGTATTTAGGGCCAGGTTAAGCCTCTTCATCTTCCCTCAGCCCACAACCATTCACCATATGCAAGACTTGGAAGAGCAGCCTGGACATTGACCTTGGCAGGATCTTGGTCACACTCCCACCTGGAACCCTCCAGATCTGCTGGAAAGGCTGAAGATAAAAATGGGCAATCAGAAATGAAGGAGGGAACAGTACGAGGAGAGAAACTCATGGGTCATGTCACAGCAGAGGAGGAGGAAACCACAAGAGCAGCTGAATTACAGATTACAAACCACTAACAGGAAGAAAAGTTTAGTCAAATCTCTGATTTAAATCTTTGAAGACAACAGTGAAGTCTTTGATTCAAAAGAGGTGATGACACAGTCTTTATTCTGTGCATCTCTTTTCTCTCCTGACTTCCCAGAGCCAGATCAAAAGAACATGGAAAGGGCTCCACAAATCCCTCTGTGCCCAAGGGCCACGGTGAACCCCCCAAACAGGGAACCCCTGTTTTCAGATGCTGAATCTAAGGGGAGGTAACTGGGTTGGAAAAGCTTTGCTAACAGACAAACACAGGTTTTCCTCAACATTGATTTATTTTTAAATACACTACACAAGAGAGACTGGAATAAAAAATAAATCAAAAAAAAAAAAAAAAAAGGAAATAGAGAGAGGAGGAAGAATTGAAAGTCATGTACAGAAACAATCTGTACTGGACTAAATTAAAGGGGAAACAACCCCCTTAAGTATCACAGAGATGAAGGACAGAGCTATTTACACACTGTAAAAAAGACAAGTCTACAAAAGTGTGTAATAACAAGATACAAATGTAT